TTTATCCAGCTGGGTTATGCTGTGAAATTTCGATTTAAAGCTTTCGTGACTGCAGGGATTCATCTTCTTGGTTCTTTCGGTAAAGTCACGTAGAAGGGAAATAATAAAATAATATTTTAATATTTTTTTATATTATATTATTATGCTTTCTTTATTTTATTTTATTATTTCCCTTCTATGCTGTGAAAGGTTGTTAGTCCATGGTCACGTAAATAACATTTGGATTTCTAGAGCGTTATAAGGAGTATAACTATTGTGCAGTGCTTAGTTAAATGCAGAATTAACCCGGCATCCGGAGTTCGATTGCCAACCACGGCAAACATCAATGGTGAGTGATATCTAAACTGGTCCTGGGAAACCCCTCCACCAACCCACACTGACCAACGAGGTGAAGTATGGTCAAAAACCAAACACGACTGACAGGCAAAGTAATTCTGCTATCCAGCAGTGGAATGATAAAGGGCTGTAAATTACAATTATACTATTTGGTTCTTTCGGTAAAGTCACGTAGGTGAAAATAAAGTAAAATGAAAAAGCATTATATATGTTTATTTATTTATTTTTCACCTACGTGACTTTACCGAAAGAACCAAAGAGTATGATTCCTTGCAGTCACGAAAACTTCAAATCTAGAATTACAATTATACTGTAATACAGTCAAATGCAACTAGTCCGATTATCCAACCAGGGTCAGTAAATTGAGTAGCACTTGGAGAAAAGTTACCAGCTACTGTCATATGGAGAGACTGCTACCTACAATTGAAACTTAAATAATTTTTACTCCCAGCAGAGATTAGCGTTGCGCACTGAGTAGTTTATCAGGGAGACACTTTTGACTTGACATAGGTAAGTAATTTAAACGAATACAAGCAAGCAGTGTGAATCACAACTCGTAGCTTAATATTTAACTCGGCAGTGTAAATATATAGGTTAGAGAATAAGCTCACATCGAGCTCACATCACGCGTCAGTGCTGGCAACTGAAAATATTCCCATGCCTGTTTTTATCTGTATACACTTAACATCCTGCATATCACACGACAGCAATGTGACTCACGACCATTGCCAATAAAAAAAATCATTTTATTACACAAACGTACAAAAAAACGGGTCAATACAGGCATATATCAGGCCACTTGAGAAGGTGGGACAAAAGGCAAATTGTTCTTCCCACACTCGATGACAGGGTGGAGCAAGTGATGTGGCTGGCTTCTTGCCATCTGGCTGCACGCAGCCTGCAATCGGGTGGGATTGCAAATTCACTGTCGCTTCTACTCCTTCCAATCTATTAAACTATTTTTATTTTTCGATTTAAAGCTTTCGTGACTGCAGGAATTCATCTTCTTGGTTCTTTCGGTAAAGTCACGTAGAAGGGAAGTAATAAAAGAATAAAAATAAAACATAATAAAATAATTCTCACGACGTTTCGGCCACAACGCAAGCAGCCGTCCTCAGGTGAAGACCCGGTCTGTTGGGGAGACAGCGTCTGAATGATGTTTTATTTTTATTATTGTATTATTAAACTATTTTTTATTTTATTTTATCAGGTAAGGCCTACCGAGCTATATTGCTCTTTTGCAAAAGCGACCTGGCCACAAATGATAGCCCAACGAAGTGACTTATCAGTGTGGAAATGTAGAGCAGTCAAATACTCGTCCTGGGCCATGACCACTGCTGCTGTTGCATTGCCAAATAATTGGAAGCAAGTACAAGTCACCACCACGAACTTGCCAGACGTGTGCTGGAGAAACGCTGTTATACACGAGTGCCGACTTCTTTTAAATGGACAGATGCCAGATATTCAGCGGCAACATTAAGGTGGTACTGCTGCAATACAGACACTAACTCCACGATGTCAGTTGCCTCGCTCGGTCATCTGCCAGTGTTAGATTCGAATCAACACATACAGCCCCTTCGATACGCTACTGCTAAATGAGTGCCCTCTCCACTCTGCGCAGGTTGTAGGGAATATTTGACCATATGTCATCACGCTGCTTAGTGCGGGTTTGTGAGGGCAGGGAGCATAGACGTTGGAGCACAGTAGTGGTATGACACTGATTTTTGCTGCACTGTCCCTCAGCTGAAATCAATGATAGCTGACGTCTTTGAGAAAGGACATGGCACAAGGAACAGATCTCTGCTGACAACATATCTCCGCAGCTGACTGCAATGCCTTTTCATGAAAGGTAGCAAGCAATCCAAGCCCTATCCAGTCTCCACGCCTGCTTAACTTCCAAGACTTGACAAGAGCAAGCGCAATTCCGTGAAATGTAATTAGAGGCTTCAAAGCAACTAGGGGAGGAATTATAAAGAATATAATTTCAGGTTTGTGGCTGTTGTGAGAGGCGTATTGAAAGCACACCTATTGAAGTAGGTTTGTGGTGTCTCCTTTGGATTAGTTCTCCACCGTGACGTGAAGTTCCATCATCTGTAGGAAGTGACGGAGATGAGCGTGTGTCTTAGCTTTGCGTCTTGAAACCGGTCGTACAACTACGACGCTACGGGTATTTAGAAATACTCACACAGGCCTGGATAAATTAATGGCCAAGTCCAGACATAAAGTGTATCAGTAGTAGTGATTTTGCTTTTAGCAATAAGACACAGTGCAATTGTATAGAATAAGAGTTAAAATAAGGGAAGAAGATAAAAAGAGAATCAAAGTCGATCAATATCACTGATTGGACGTAGAAATGGGCAATAATTAAATCCTAACGATTGTACATCCATTTAGGGCAGGGGAGTAAAACTGTAGTTAAAAGGGCTGTTCATGCCATAAGCAAACCCTTGCAATCTGAGGCTTATCTCAAAACCCATCTGTCAAGTCCCAAAAGTAAATACAAAATAATTACCAACACAAACAGCATAGGTGTAATGCCTCAATTATTATCTTTTCCATCATGATCAAATCAGATTTCACAGTTTGAATCAATGACTGCAAACATGAACATAAACATTTCGGAAGCTAATGTGCATGCAATTACAGCACCAACTACAAATAGTCCTCATTTAAATATGATTACAGTATTACATTTCTATTTTGCAGTTGCACATGCTTTAATTTCAATAAATGGTTATTTGTAGTTAGGAATTTGTATTGTACTTTGTTAATTTAAAGAAGATTGTTTTTAAGTATCACTTGATGCACAATAGTTTTGTGTGTAATATTTTTCTTGCTTCAGAGTTGTACCCGGTAACTTTGCTCAAACACTGTTATAGTATTTCCATAGGTTTCATACTATATGAGAAAAAAAATCATTCTGGATGGATAACCTGAGTATATTCCTGTCTGTCTGTGGCTCACCCAAGTGCAAGGCACGGCGGTGACGTCATCATGCCGTCTGCGCGATGATGTCGCTCAGAACCAGAATATTTGTCTATACCGGAGAAATCCGGAGCTACAAATCTCTTTTTCACAGATGTCTCCAGTAGGAGGCACGGGGGGGTTCCAAAAACAAACAATACAAAAATATGATAGCAAAGTACAAGAAAGGTAAACAAATCACCCAAACAGAATCCAACTGAACCATCCCCATCCTACCAGACAAAGCCCATTGAGCTATTAACTTATTTTTCAAAAGCGACCTGGACACAAATAATAGCGCAACAAAGTGGCTCATCATTTGGACATTTATAATAACAAAATAGCCTAAATAATCTAAATGCATGTTTCTAAATGTGGAGGGAGAAACCGGAGGACCCGGAGAAAAATCAACGCGACCACGGGAAGAACATGCAAACTCCAAATGTACAACAGGCGTCAGGGTCGAGATCGAACCCACGACCTCCTGTATACCAGGCGTGGTATTTAACCTCACAGCGGCGAGGTGAATCTCCTACAGGGCCAAACACAAGGTGCGCATGCAGGGATGTCGGGGGGAATTAACGGGCGTTTGGGGTATCCCGCCCCGGGGATACACAGGAGTTAAATAACTGCTCTGCGGGACTTAAACCGACGATACGTTCACTCGGCACGTGTAGGTTATTTCATTTGGAAGATTTTGTTACGTGCACCCCCCCCCCCCACCACTCCTTTTTTCCGTTCAATTGTGTTCCTCTTCCCTTGCCCAAATAAACCCCTACACTCGCACAGCTCGCAGTCTCTACTACATGAGTGGGGCAGTGAGCCCAATCTTCTCCCCCCTTCCCAGACCCCAGGAGCACTGAGATCAGACTTCAGTTCGCAGAATTTCTGGACCCCACCCCCTCCCTTATTACGGTTCGTGCCTTTAACCGGGGCTCTCGTAAAAAAAAGAAATCTATTTGAATTGCACCCAGCACACGCAATGGCCATTGCATAACCTGTGCTTAAATGTCAGCACGTAGCTTCAAAAGTAATTTACATAGTTCAGAAGGATGCAAAAGTCAAGCTATTTCTCGACATTACACACAGGTCATGTGGGCTGCAATGCTTTGAATACAAAAAAACCCATTGCAAAACTTCACAGATGCTGCCAAGAAAGTGCGCACTCCAAAGCTCTTTTAAAGTGTAAATTCTGAGGCTAACAACACCTGTGTCAAATGGAAGGGCTTTTCAGACGCTCTTGTAAGTTGGTGCTGGCACACGGATGTGTAAACGTGCACACATCTGGATTCACTTAACAGAGCAAATGGCACATGCGTGCCCTTTTTCAGCTCAAAGGTACCAAGCGATCCGAGTGAGGGCTAAGGCTCCAATAAGCCAAGACTTGCACCTAAAGTGGCTGCTACGAGTTACTTATGCAATGCACTTGACGCCACATGTTGTTAGACAATTTAAAAATATATATTATTTCATGTAGAGTACCATAATGTATCTCAGCCAGTCAAATGGCTAACACGAGCTTATGTAAAGGAAATCATGTGAACAATATGGACATGTGTGTTTTTTGTGTTCAGTTTGCTGTCTTTCCCCCGCACCTCCAATTTAGCACGGTTAGCTACGTACGACGCAAAATAAGTTCAATGTACATACATACAAGGGAAATATGCGACAGAAAATGTATAAAATGTGGAGGTACTTACAGTTTTTGACACGACAGGCCTTTTGGGTTCTTGGGCCTTAAATGGGTTCCTGTATTTAAAGAATAAAAATGTAATCAATGTTCAGCAAAAAAATAAGTTTTATATTGTGCAAAAATGCTGGAACGAAGCTGGCAGTATTTATTCGAATATTAAGTCAATAACACACCCCACTTAAAATGCCTCCAGCCAAAGAACATTGTCAATGATGCAAACTATGGCCTTTTAGCAACAGTGATGAAAGGGCTAGTGGCCAAAACAGTCATCAGTTTACATTTTATTTGTATATTTTCTTACAGCATTTCAAGTAATAAATATGGTAACATAGTGCATGCAAGATAGAACTACTGCTGGGGGCATTACTGATCCACACCGATGTGCACAGACAAGGGAAACACAGACGAGGGGATGACCAAAGGGGAGCGAGAGCCATGGGCACGCGCACTGCTGCAGGAACTCGATACACGCTTCTCAGGCAGCAACGCACACGTGTTAGAAGCCCTCGTTCAGCAGTGAATACTTATCAGGAATGGTAAAAAAAGTTATGCAAACAAACACCGTGTTAAAACACGTAGGCTTTCGTGACCAATAGTATCCATTAATAATGGAGGTATTTTTGGGTTACGTCGCGTAAATATCAATGTGTCGTTAAACTCGCAACATTTACAATTCAAGTGAGTTGGTGCTTGCTCTCCACCACACCGGTGTGCTGAACTAGTAACGAATTGGCATGTTTTGTTTATTTGTTTACGTGACAAATCTTACCCAATGACTATGTCAGGTGGTGGCGGGTTTAACATGCATAAAGGGTGCTTCAAGAAAAATGTTAATACTTAATTGGACTATCGTTTTTTAATGGGAAAAAAACAGATAATACACTGTAACATGATAACAAATGTATGTTATTATCTGGCAACAAAACTGGCACTTTTTTACAAGGAGTCATGTTTGCATTGACCACAATACCTGCGGTTGGAATACAAACAAAAAACACAACTCTGATAATGATATGCACTGTCCTTGAAATTGATTGGTCCACACCCGAGACAGCTTTTCTTAGAGCCGAGTCTCACATGGTGTTGGACCAGATGACGCCCAAAAGGTGCACAACTCAAAGACAGTGCACCATCAGAGTATGAGAGCTCGGGGTAAGCATTTACACCATTGGAACCTCCTTTGCCAGTAGCAAAATATGATAATTGTTTTTTTACCATTTTATCTGGCAACAAAACTGACACCTTTTTTACAAGGAGTCTCCACTTGTTCGCCATCATTGTCAACACGTGCCTGGAATCTTCTCCAGGTGGTCTTCAGAGCCCGGGGGCACATTTCTTGTGGTATTGTCGCAAATTCTCAGAAGTGTTAACAAAAAATGTTGAAGCATCCTGTAACAATGTGATCTGTACTGATCTGCCCAAAAAAACCTCTATTACGGAAAATACCAAAGGAGTCACGGGGGGAGGGGGGGGGTTGCATCATCGCCAAAATAATTTAAGAACAGCTTCCTACCTTAGCACAGATAACCACAATCAATTGCTGTTTTATACAGATGATCCAAATAGGTTGTGCATTTAGACATTGTATTTTTCACGAGCACTATTGACATTCGATTGGGGTTAATAGAGAGGCAGCTGCAAATGAGTTGAATCAAGCCACTGGCTGTCAGCTTATAGTCCATCACGTAATGGAATACTCAATCTCGAGCGGTGTGTGATCATCAGCATCTAGTTAGGAGAATGGCTCTGCCTCAATTCTAACACACACGACCCGTTGTTCTTGTGATCCTCGGGTAGAAGTTTCTCCCGTGAATAACGACGCTTTAAAGAGATAACAAGGGACCTACAAAGTGGGCTACAGTGGAATTGACCTTTTCCACTTCTTATATAAATGACTGTTAAGAACACAAATACGATATCTCTGCTGGCGGAAGAGTTCATGGGCGGTTTATGTGAACTTACAAATGAATATGACAAACCCACTGATTTGGTGATTGTAAAACACTAAGATACACGACTTGGGCACAAATCAAGACATTAAATGAGCAAAATAAAAATTATGGAAATAGTTCACACGAACGCATTTGTGGTTCAATTTATCTGGTATTTTCACCATTAATTGACATTTGCCAGTCACATGGAATTGAATCAAATGAGTCACCCTCGTGCAAGTGTATATGGCACTCAAATGTCTCCAGTAACGAACTGTATGGCACTTTTTATTAAAATTGCAATTCTTGTTAACATGCGGATATATAAAACGACCCTTTTAAAAATGTGCACAATTATCAATGGACGAGTGAAAAGACAATTGCGGGGGGAAAAATATATGAATAAACAGTTAACGATTACCAGTTGCTTACCAATGATGATCACAGGATTGCTTTAAAAATATATATCCGTGCAGAAACTTTGTTTCTAAATTACGTAAAAAACTGTTCCAAGTCAATTGTAATTACACCACACAGGTATTTATAGTAAAGTGTAAACTATCATTTTTCTGTTCATGACTTCACTTGTATGCAATTTGTAATTGTTACAATTGTTTAAACCCATGTATTGTATCTTAATTTCCTATTTCTATTAAATGAGAGAATGGACTAATTTATATTGGCAGAATCCACCTATTTCATAGCACTCAGCAGCAATTTGGCCATTTTCTACTGAATCCTGGCAGAGAGGTACCCCATGTCTCAATGGGCCTTCACCTGGTCAAGTGAGGTACGCGACTGATATTATGACGGGCACAATTATTTTTGGGTTTTCAATGAAGTATCACGTACAAGTTCACTATTTAGTAAACACAACAATTGAGTACCTCATAATACAAAAACAACCGCTTTACACTAAACTCAACCAATCCCATCTTTATATTATCTCCAAATCTTCCGTCATGAGCAACAACATTGCACAAAAGCACACAAAGGCAGAGACCCCCCCCCCCCCCCCATATAGCCTTAACAGACCTTTGGGGCAAGTGCAGCTAGCGGGCACCTATGAAGGCCGGCATGATACACGTGGGGGGTGGGTGGTCAACACCACACCGGCCACCTTTGTCTCCCTAGTGGCGATGTTTACACACAACACCAGGTACTCATTAGAGCCTGAGTCGGCCTAAGGGAGGCCCAGGACTGGTTCAGATAATCGTCACTGGTGTTGGCCATGAGTGGGAATCGAACTCGGGTCACTGATCTTGTCGCGAAGTGCGCTAACCGCTGGGCCGCTGCTCTCCATAAGCACTTCTTGTCCTTACTGTGAAGAAATGTGGAACCGCCAAAAGGGAAACATTCATAAATCCCTACCGTAGAAAGCAAAGCAGAATTATTATATTTAACCACTGACTGCCAGAACTGTCAGTTTGCAATGTTGATATCAACTTCCCAATAACATTTCTGTCATAAATAATAAAATTAAGTTAAAGGTTACGAGTGCTTCTGCAAATTCCTAAATGGGCAATGAATACAATGAACAGCTGTTCACGAAAAAGTTTGTGGTTTCACTTTATTCTTCTTTGGTCATTCCCTTTTTAAACTGAGAAAATGTGACCTTAAATCCCTACAAAAACACATTTTCGCATGACAATTACAGCGCAAGTGAACACCTATGAGCTATTTCTTGAAATAATGAGGTAATAGAACTAAGAAATTCCTATAAAATGAAGTCTTCACACAAAAGTTAAGGGATCCATTCTCTTACGCTACGCGAATAGGGCATCAGAGCAGCTACCAAACACATTCCTGCGGAGGGAGCTGGTAGGAACGTTGGGTTGCTCGGTCAATGGCCAGGGTCAACGGCGGCGTGGTGTATTCCGCAAATATGCCCGACTGTGAGGGCGGGCACAAGCCGGCGTGAGTAGGTTAAACGTTGAGTTTTATAAGGGCACCACGGGGTGACCAGCCCCTCCCCACCCAGCCCCACCCCTCCCACCCCCAACCCATCCCCTCCCCTCCCTCCCCACCCAGCCCCTCCCTGCACGACGGACACAATAATCCCCTGTGGGCTGGTGTAACCAGGAAGTTCCTACCAGTATAAATAATTTCATGGTTTAGATTTAGTTTACAGTATTTAGACTGGTGGTCGATCGCCTCTCTATCACTCTTCTATCGCTACTACCATACCATGGTTACTGTTCCCACGAACTTCACTCCTTCATTCTGCCAACCACATGAAAGATGTGTCTACCACTCACTCTCTCGTCTAATCCAAACTATGTTCAACCAAATTTAGAAGGTCGGAACTAATTATTACAGAAACTCCTCTACTTACAAACATTTGACTTACGAACATTCAGAGATATGAACAAGCCTGGCCATATGTCCAGTTACCTGTTCGGACCGAGTCGTAAGTTCAAACGCCGCGCAATAGATAGCGGTGGTGGCATCTACATCTGCAGAATGTGAAGAACCAGTGAAGTGTACATGCTGCACAACATGTTTGGAATCGACAAGAGTAAAGTTCGACTTATGAGCAGACCTCTGGAACCTAACTCGTTCGTAAGTAGAGGAGTCCCTATACGTACAATCCTTCTTTCCCCACCTTCATCATAAGCCTCCAACAGAGGCTTATTCATTTCATGGAACAATATAGTCCAGATAAATATTCCCAAAATCAACAAGGTTTACGATTCCATGGAAAACAATCTCTTGAAATCACAAATACAATGTACTATGATGAAGACCGAAGATCATGACGAACTTTAAATTACAATGATCTATACAAGTAAAAATAATAATTTATGGCCCTTTACCAAATTCACTGCTGGATGAATCCTCTGGAAGTTGTGCCAATCGTGAGGAGTTGTTTAATCACACTTCACCATGGTGATCAGGACGAGATGTTGAGAAGGGAGGGGGAGGACAAGGACCAGTTCAGATATCGCTTGCCAATGATTTTAGCCATGGCGAGGAATCGAGCTCCGGTCACTGTGGTCACTGACGCAGTGCCCCAACCGTTGTGCCACAGAGAACAGAATTAGAATCTTTATTTATTCTAGAGGAATCGAATGTCCAGTAGGGGCGGGTCAGAAAGTTACAACAAAAAACACGATACAAAAACA